GATGCATCTTTTCATAACTTTCATGATGCAATTCATAACGGAATGGCTAAAGCAAATTGCTGCCGTGTGCCTGTAAAAAATAACACTCGTTTCTTCTATATTTACCCATTCAGGAAAACGCACATTTCATCACAAATAATCTTGTTCCTTTTCTATACGTTAAAACTTATTTGTAAACTACATTCGTATCACTTGAAATTTCATAGGCAATGACTAAATTTGAAGTGGAGCGAGGGAGAAATACCGGCTTCCAGGTGCCTCGAGCATTTTATCAACCTTATGTTATATAACTAAACCGACAAAATGGAGCATAGCCACCCTCTGCACACATTCCCGTTTGTCTTAGTCCTATAATTAATTCTTCGTACATTTCGCGGTTTTGTTATCAAACACATTTCAGATATTAAAGTTGGGTATTATCGAAGTCAGTTGACAGCGTCCTTTTGTAGCTCAACTCAAATGAAAAAGGAAACTAGTAGAGCGGACTTGTGAAGTGTATAGGGCTAATTTGAAACTAATTGGAGCTGCTACATTGACGAAAAAAAAAGCAAGCTCGCCACTCAGACGGAAAGAAATTTATAACGGAGAATTCAGATACTTCAATCCCAAGTGCTATGAATCAAACAGTAATCTACAATTGCAATTTGCTCTGAAGTGTTCCGCCGACTTCCTTACTTTAGATAAATCACGAACTTTCTATTCATATTACCCGTTATAAATCACACACAAAATAAATTTACGGTTCCATATTTTACGCTCGTGAAGCTTTTCTAAATTAAAATCCTGTTCTTGATTGTAAAAAAAGAACGTGCTAATAACATTATTACATTTGTAAATGAGACGTAGGCGAATTGCAAAGCGAAATTTATGTGTTATTTTTGTGATTCGAATTGAAACGTATAAAAAAAACTAGTTAATCACTGAAATTGAATTTTACGTTCAAAATTGATTGTGTTCGTTTGTATTACTGCAACGCGGCAGTCTTAAATATATTTGTCAGCTGTAGCACAGATTTTGTACTGTAGTATACAAGGTATGCTTTCTCCAACGGTATATGCGGGAGTATATCAGTTTCAAACAATCACTTTAGACAGATTTAAATATTTTTCCTATTGAGAAAAACATTAATCTTAATTTGTTACTTTGAGTAAACGCAACAAAATTGCCTTTAGATCCTTGTTTTGGTCCTGATAAGCTACATAAAATAATTGACAGGGTAGAACATAAACAATAATTGCTACGGGGGTTCCTTCTGGACTTGAAGATTACCATCGGTTCCGCCCGGCAAGGCAAACCGTCTTCTTCTCAGGCTGCGTAACAAATAAAAATAAATGCTCCGGCTAACTCAAATCGGTGGGCTTTTAACTCTTTTCTACTGCGTAACAACCTTAACCTGCCGCCTACCAGTCTCCTGCCTCAACTCCTACTCCTCTCTTTCCTTCCCCTCGTTCTTCGTTAAAGACATACCAAGTAGATAATATATTTTGAATGATATGATAGATACAAACAAATTACAGGGATCTAGCAGTTCTTCTCTCCTCCTTGTAAAAAATGTAGCTTAACAATGACAACTAAATTAAATAAAAAATCCTATCAAGTGAGACTAATTTACTCAAGGGGTGGCCATCCTCTACAGTTTGAAAATTTTAACAACAGGTAATCGTTTTTTACTCCAGCGTGAGCTGGGACTTATTTAAATAAACACAAAATTTATCCTACTCTTTGGTAATCGTTCATTGGACTTTAATAAACAAGAAAATCAAAAGTTTTGATATAGCTTGATTACCAAAAAGTGGGATTTACAGAACGTTACAAATTTAATTAGACTAACCTTTACAATATTTGTACAGCCGATCTTGTGAACTGCTCTTTCCTCTGGTACAGGGTGGGTGTGGTGAAACCTGACACTTAGGTCTCCGTGACTCCCTAGGGGGTTGCTTGAAGTTAACACACGGAAACAAAATCCACGGTGCCTATCTTTCCTCGGAACGAAAACAAAGTGTAGTGTTTAAAAAGGAATCTTAGTCCAGGAAATCCTTCGCGTGGCGAGTGGGAGACGCCTAGTTCCCAAAGTTTCTACACAGCAGGTGTATTTAATTTAACACAATGACTATTTCTTTCCACCGGCTCTTAGAGTTTATTGACTTTAACTCGCCTGCTGGAGACGGATTTTTGAGTTAGCGGTACGACAGAACACAAATTTTTTATGGTCACGATCCGACGGTAAACCGCGATTTATTCTTGGGTGGTTCGACTACTTATTTCACCAGCTCTTCTTGGGGCAAATATCTCTCCAAAGCGCAGCGCTCCTTCGACAAATGTCCGTACGGCACTAGTAGGAAATTCCACCTGGGACGGATCCCGAAATTCTGCGCCTTGAGGAATAGGGCAGCACTTTGAATTATATATCCTCGAGAAATCACAACGTATCCTAACGCGATTCACTGCATCCAAAGTAAACTGGTGTGAAGCTCAAAAGGTTCGCCTAAATATCACTTGATCGGAACCGGGGTTTTCGTCGCCGAAAATTCAACGCGAAAAGAAAATAACACTTCTAAACGGGGTGCAAAAAGCACGCAACTGGGAGCAACCGAAATAAAGCGGTGGCTCAAAACGCTAAGTGTTCCAAAACGATCGCTCAAGGTACGTGTTGACCCCTTGACATACTAAACGCGAGTCTTCTCTAAACGATCCCCTTCTTCAGAATTCAAATGAAAAAACCACACCCAAATTACCATAACACAAAAATGGCTCCCGCTAGAAATTCTCCCATTGGTTTAGATAACGAAGACTTAACCCACTCTAGCTTCGTCGTCAACCTCCACAAACTGCTGAGTAAGCGAATCTCACGGTTTTCTGCTGACGAAATGAAGACCCCTGATCCCTTGATGGCTGGGTGCTATATCCGCTCCTATTCTCGGTCTAGACGGCGCCTGCACCTGCACTATCATGACAAGAAATTTCGAAATAAAACCACTCGTTACATAATGTGGTCACAATCGAGGGGGATTTAACAAATTAACGATCTCAAAGTATTACAAATAGGAAACTGTAATATATAGATTTGAAAAAATGTTTAGCAAAAAGGGAATCAACTGGTAATCGGGAAAATTATGAAAACCAAAACAGGCTTCCGCAAAAAACAACAGAGCTACAATGGTTTAATGACTATGCAAACAAATAGAGTAATCACAATTCGCTTGTATCGAAAATCAATTTGTAATCAAACGATATATCAAGCAGTTGTCGCAAATATTACTCATTGAACTACGGGTTGGAACCTTTTGGAGCTCAAAAATGGCGCTTTTCTACCTTATCTGTAACAGATAAAAACACAAACAACAAAACCAGAGGGAATACGAGAGGGAATATCGCTGCAGTATGCAAATGCCAATTTTCCCCTTGTATACTTAGTGTTTTAACAGTCAGCAAAAGCACTAATTAATCCTCTTCAAATTTTTTACCGGCTGCCGTTATCCATAATCTTATTAGTACTGCGTACCTATAAGCAAGAGTCGTGCCCAAATATAGTTAATAATTGGTTTTTATTGTAACTAGCGACTCCAAGTATAAATACAATGAACGTTCTATTCTTTTGACCCCAATTCTTTCGTGGTGCGCGATCACGCTTGATCAAATGATGCAACCACAACGAAAATATTCGCTCGCGTATTAAGAATGCAACACATTGGCACTATATACACGGTTGAAAATCCAACCGGACGATTCCTCTACGCAACGGAGCATAAATACGCCACTTTATTCGTAAAAGCAACTCGCAAAGAATTTAAAAGCACACACGACAACAAATTCGTCGAAATGGCGGCACAGTTTTCCCTTGTAATTTGGCAATTAACTTAAATCGTTGCAAATTCTAACAGCTTCATCATAATACATTTGGGACTGTTTTGTTCGTTCATAGAAATAAATCAATTTATATAACGCATAAAAATGTTCATTCTTACAATACTCGGAACAAAAATCAAATATATAATGATAGATTACGATTAAAAGCGTCTCAATGTTTCATGTATTTTATGTTTATGTTTTATACGATTTTCGGAGGAGTGTAAGCATTTCTTCAATGTATTAACACAATAAATTACTATTACTATTTTCGCAATAAAAATCTCAGGTACTATTACACGGCTGTTTAAATCCATACCTCGATTATAAGAATTCGTCTTGAAAATAAATGTTACGTGATCTAAAATCCTCCACAAGACTTACATAGGTTCACCTTAAAGGTTCGGCGAAGAATCTCTTCGACCCAATTTTTCCTAATGCACTCGCTGAGTCAAAACACCATTTTCCTACAATATTAATGGCTAAAATTTCGCAACATATAATTTTCTATCAACTAGACTTCCGGACCTACGCGAACTGGAATCCCAAAGATGTATAACCATCCATATTAGCTTATTCCCGGAAAATATACACTTGCGTAATTCTTTCAAGGGAACATTTTTTAAACCAATCGTGTGAATTTGGATGTTCATGAAAAGTCAACAGCCACTTACGAATAGTTTCCAATTGGCCCCATACTATCCAACATATTGGCTTCATAGTGAGTTGACAGTGTTCCCCTGACTCATTTGAAGTTTATCTTCAGTTTTGTCTAAAACCTGGATTGCTTTTTCTTCTCACTATTACTGTTAGTGCGTGTATCTGGTCTTTTGCTTGTTTTGATGATTTTTCGTGTAAGGCCTGCTCATTAAGGTGTTTCTCACCAAACTCCAAAACAAACAAAATCAAGCATACCTACTGGATAACGTTGCATTTGGCATCCCTATTGGTTCTAAACAAAACTAACTCTTATGCTTTATAATTTGAGTTATTCGCATGTACTTTTAAGTTTCATGAACTCATTTCGCGTTATTCTTATTTATTCTAAGTTCAGTTTCTATTTATTTTGCTACGTTGTCATATCAGCAATCGGATTACAGCTGTTGCAGCTGTTGAGTTGTTCCGGTTGCTGGTCGTTGTTGATTCCCTTGCAGCGCGGACGGCAACTTTGAGGTAACGCTAGCCACCAAGGCCACCATCTACCACCAGGGTCTAGTTGAGTGGAAACCGCCCGCAATATACAAGTCTTCCTGCGAGATTGACGTTGAGTATTTTCCGTTTGATGACCAAACCTGCTTTCTGAAATTTGGTAGTTGGACTTATGACGGATTTAAGGTAAGAGCATGCTGATTTTGCCATGCTTGACAGTTTTCACAAGGGAGCATTGAGGCTCGAAATGCGAAAACTGTCAACGATTCTATTTTAGTGTTAAACCCTATCGAAATTATGTCCTGTACATAGTAGTACGTCACTTCGCTCCTACTGAAGTGGGAGAGAATGGCCACTGAGGTGCGAGGTGGCGAATCTGCATTTTCGGGTCCCCGAGGACGGCAGGACTTATCGGCGCGCTTGCACTGTCAATGTCTTTTCTTACAGCGCCGATGGAAACTATGAGGTAACACTCATGACGAAGGCCACAGTCTACTTCAATGGGCTGGTGGTTTGGCAGCCGCCAGCCGTTTATAAGTCCTCATGTGCTATAGACGTAGAATTCTTTCCGTACGACGTCCAAACATGCGTTTTGAAGTTAGGAAGTTGGACTTATGATGGGTTCAAGGTTCGCGTGGTGTTTTGTTGAGTGATATTTGTTTAGACTCGCTCCCTGTACATACCGACTGTTTACACTTGGGAAAGGTATAAAATTACAATCGCTGACACATTCATTGTCATACAAATAGGAAAACTTTCAAACTAATCGTGGTGCTGCTTGCATGCTGATTTCCTAACGTGTTTTTTATCAATTTAGGTATCTATAATAGGTCCTGCGAGCATATAACATGTGTAGACTGCTTTCGTGTCCTATATGTACCACAAGTGCTTAAGCTTAGTGCACGCATGCTAATTATATTGATTTGCAACAACAGTTGTAGTATATGCTATGAGATAGTAACCCTTACGAAGAGTCACATCGCAAAATAAACTTGAATCGCCGAAAAATAAATACCACACTTTTACATGGACTATTACAAGATTATTTCGTTCCGATTTTATGTATTTACTTTTACTAAAGGGATCGTACTTTTGAAACTTCGCCGCATATTTTTTTCTAAAGTATACAGTTTATTCACGGTAAGAGCAAGGTATGTCTTTAGAACGTGTAAATACTTATCTTTAAAACAAGTTTTAAGTACTTTTCTTGCAAAACTCCTTTAATTTTTATTAAATTCTGTCTGTATAATGCTTGAAAAAGAAACAAATGGTATTCTTAATCCTTAACAACCGGACCCTTCACAAGTATACGCAATTAGTATTACAAAGTATTTACGCATTTTACCTTTTTACTTTTTTAACAATTTATGAAAAAAATTAGACTCACTTTTAACGAGTAAATAAATGTCATATTTTTTATAAAAGTACCTCTATTATAGCAAAGGAATTGCGAATGATAAAATACTGAAATGGATCTACTATTGTCATTAGTAATTACTATTTACTTCGGTTTGTTTTCCCTTTCGCTTTGGTACACGATATAATAGCTTTGGTAGACCTCTTACAAGTTTCTTAAGTTCATTTATAGCCGACAGGTGGTGACACTATTTTAAAAACAATAGAAATATTTGTTCCCATTTTCCTTTTTCTAAGAAATAGCATCTTTGACGCAAAGAAGTGCCATTTGTTCCAAAATCTCAAATTTTTTTAATAATTTGAAGTCGCAAAAACGGTGAGTCGTAATCGCGAGCAAGTTCAATGTTTTGTCCAGGGTTTTGTCTTACTATTTACTATTTCATAAAGAGCAGAGATTACGGTAACTGCTTTTATAACACAGTGAATAGAGGGGGGGTTACCTTACAAACTGTCTCTAGTTCTAAATTTTTGATATGTTGTCTAGGATGGTTACTGAGTATTTAAAAGGCAAAATGTACATTGTACAATTCCTTTCACTCCTCACCCACCGTCATATTGAAAAAAATGCATTTTAGCTACCTACAAAAGAGTTCTGGACAACTTTATAATTTACGTTTTTAAATTTTGTTTCTAGCACTAATAGTTACCGAGATATATCTACACTTTTTTTTAAAGAAAAAAATCGAATTTGCCAAAAATTTGTCAAACTTCCAATCTTAGGACGCTGTAATCCAGTTATGGCCTATTCTATAAAAACATGTATCAGGAATGAAATTTGGGAACTAATTAATTACCTACAAAATGCATGTATATTTTTTTACCAATCCTACGGGTAAACATAAAAGTTAAATAAAACAACATTGCTTTTTTTGGCTATTGTAACTAGACTTGGATCTAAAAAATGGTACCCGAACGAGACACTGTGATAGTGTTTGTGGACCTCAATGATATCAGAAGCAGAGATGTCAGATAATAATATACTGCTATGTACAATGGCAAACGATCACTAAAACCACCCAGAAGCACCTGTGCAGCTAGCTCAATTAAGTGCAGATAAAACCTTTAAAAGAGATAATTATAATTTTTCTGGGTATAACATTTAACAAGAAACCTCTTTTCTATGTAGGAGTTTAAGCTCAATTAAGCACAAAACTAACCACTAGCAAATTTATCATAAAACAATCTAATAAGTTGAAAGAAAAACAGGCCAAAGGAAACAAATACCACGCAACAACGATCGATAGAACAAATTAATTAAGAGAAATCTTGATTTCCATAAAGTGTTAGTAATCTAAAATCCCTCCGGTCGTACCTGCCATTTTCAACAACCAGACGCACTAACACAAAACATCAGGTGCTACTGCTTTACACCTCACTTCTCGACTCCAATTATAGCACTCGAGTCTCGACACTAGTTGTAATTAATTACTGATGCAAAGTTGGCTCCTTGATGGAGAAAAAAAAACTCCCACTAATGGGTCTTTGAAAACCTTATAGGAAGGCTTTCTATTTCCATAAACGTTCGAAAGAACAAAACACTTTGACTACAATTCTTCGTAATATTCACTTGTTTAATTCGATTTAAACACTCACTTTAAACGACGTATTAGAGAAATCCCTTCGCACAACCAACTTTCTTCTGCAAAATTTTACAATTAAACAAGACTGATTGTCTTTTCAAGTACCTACGCTCAAATACGGCAACGTTTCACATCCACCAAACCAAAAAATCCTTAATCAAAGAGCAACGATTAACGTCTACGTCTGATATTTAAAACAATTTCCCTTTCCCGTTCCACTTCAAACTGCGTTCTCAGTGTTTTGTTGCCTTCGTAAACACGTCCTTATGTCAGATCAGAGATGAAATTATACCAGTCCTACGCAATTATTTCCAGATGTTTAAATCTAGTCTTTTAATACGTAAAAAAATTGAACACATAAATAAAATACAAGGGAATTATTTAAACAAAATTAACAATGATAATTCTAAAACAAAAATTCAAGATCGGAATTGCGTTTAATCCCAATATACAACCAACTTTTAAAGTAAACAATAATGTAAATGCACATACAGGGTGACTCATCGCTATTTAGGTGCTGAAGCCAAACAAAACGTCCGCTTAACGATGAAAGCAGCTAAAAAGGGCAAAAAAGACCATCTACAAATCTCAGCGGAGAAAACAGTTCATAGAACATGCCAAAAAATATTGCAATGCAGATATGATAGCCGCCCATATAAAACGTTAAGTAGCCGGATAGATCAAATGTTTATGTTATAGAGATGTTAAATTGACTTTTTAACAGGTTGGAATGAGCTAAGTCGCTGTTTAACCGGTAGGGCAGATAAAGTGAAACAGATGATTGTGCATTCTAATGACATCTGCTATTCTTACATCAAATGGGACGCGGAGCACGATACAAAAGAAATTCAGAACATATGACAATGGTGTCTATAGAAACGACCGCGACGGCAGAACCGAAGCTTGCTATTTTTGACCTTTACATTAAATTCAGAATTGTCAGAAACTTTACAATGATTTATATGACTTAAGTTATAAAATAAAGTTTGTATTATACACAACGATAAAGGGAAGTTAACCATCTCGTGAATTAAAATCTTTCACTCAATGACTAAAATAAATATAATAAATAATTATTTTTATACCCTTATCTTGCGGAAGTTTGACCCTTTATCTCCTGTTAAAACTTAACATTCAAAATCTAATTACATGGTTTTATTGAACTGAAATAATTACGTATACAGGGTGTTCATTTGAAAACTTCCCACCACAGATTTATCCAGGAAAAACGCCAAAGGATTTTTCAAGGGGACTACTTTTCCACCAAAAACTACTTTCACCCTCTTTCAATTTCTGCCCCCCAGGGCCATTCCCTTAAAAATTTTAAATGGCAAGCGGTATCCTTTATTTTGACGTTTGATTTTTTAAAATCGGTCGATTCGTGTTCGACAAAATTAGAAAAATCTTTATTTAATTTATTTAATCGACCTATCGTAATTTGTTCAGATAGTAAACAAAAACAAACGAAAATATCACTTATTTGTTGCTATGGGAAAGAAATAATTTAATTTGCTGCCGCAGTTACCTTTGTGACAATCTTGGGATAGTAAAAATTAATTTATTGATTCAGATGCCTCCGGTACCTCCGTAACGTCGTGATTACTCATTTCATCTGGAGACGAGCATAGTCGCGCTCCCCATCAACTATCATTCGAAGAAATCATTAAAGAGTTATCCAGCCCCCGTATTCTGAACCCACTTTCACCGTTATCTATTTTTTACCTTCACGTGCGCAAACTTATGCTAATGTTTTTCGAATGTATAGAATGGGGTGGTGATTGCAGTAGAGGATGTTATTTCATTCAGCTATGACCTTGAGTATTATTGGAATTTGGAAAGAACAAAAAATGTTTCCGTACGAAAAAGTTTGCGGACCAGAAATATTATTCTCATTAAATGTGTAACTTTATGTCCGCCAGTGAGTACCTGTTTTGAGATCTTGGGACGATCTCCAACTTCGAACGAAGGACCAGGTTATTTCGTAACCAACGATAATGATTTTATTGCATTTTAATAACAAGTATAATTTAATTGAAACATGTATAAACTTAGAATTTATCTCCTTAAGATTGTTGGTTTACTTATTTGCTAAACGACCGATTTCGGCGCGGTTCAGAATGCGACTGCTTAAAAACTCCTTAAATTAATCTCCTCGAAAACCCCATGTAATATGGCCATGTGTTTATGGTCCACCTGGTCACGCATTCGGAAACATAAATTAGGATTAAGGGTGACAAGGCGGCGGTTTTCTTTTGAGGCCCAAACTAAATATTAAGTTAACACAAGAAAACATATGGACAACATAAATCAAATCTTAAAATTACTTAATTATTCTAACAGTACCTAAAATGTTACTTTATGCCGAGTTTGACAACAAAAATGTTTTCGACCGAAAACAGTTGTACAAAGACAGTGATTATAGTCGTTTTTTTTTGGTAACTAATCTCTTAAATTGGCAGTTACTAGTTAGTACAAGTAGGTACTTCGTTGGGTACTTCCATGTTTGAACTTCAAAATGTCAGTCTTACTACGCTGCCAACCTAAAACTTAACGGCATAAAAAGTGTTCCCAACATAAAACATGTTAGTTCTAATGTTCCCTATAGTT